GCTTCTCAATGCCAAGGAAATGTCCTCTCCTCTTCAGCACAGGACTCCTCTTTTGCCTCCAGCTTTCACTGACAAGGAGTGGACTACCCACACCCCTATTATAATTTCAGTACTCCGAATCCTGTTTCTGTTTCCCTCAATTTCCTTTTCCCATGCCTAAACCTTATTTCCTTCTCTTTCCTGCTTTAAACTCTCATCCCGCCCACACTGACAGATAAGCATTTCCAGAAGCTCAGACCCCAGCCTCCCTTGCCCTCTCCCCCTGACCTCTGCTCTCTGCTTGCCTTCCTCTCGCCCCTTTCAGTTCCCCCTCGCAGAATGACCAGTTACTCTTTGCTTTTGAACTGTAGGCACGACCCCTCTTGAACGACTCTCCCCGACCCCCGCCCCAAGCGACTGAAAAAGGAAACATGCGCACTTCAGAGCTAGGAGCTGTCCGAGTGCTGAAATTTATAGGCTGGGTAAGATCACGTCTCCGTCTCTTTGTAGCCCTCATTCCAGCACAGGATCTCAGCAATTCCCCCTCTTCTCCCCACCTACTCCAGCGCACAGAGTCCTTTCTTCTCCCTCATTTACAACTTCTTTTAAAAAGAACATTTTCTAGAGGAAAGGGCTTTTCTAAAAAGGGATATAAAACAAAAGCCACAGCAACCCGACTTCCAGCATGGCATTGTCACCTGCCCCCTTCGCATGGTGATGCGATTAAGGTAGCAGCATTTTCATTATTCAGGAAAAGCAGCTGGGGGATTCATCAGTTCTGAGGCTTTGTCTTTCCTGGGTTAACTGATGGTCCTGAGCCTCGGTTTGACCTGACCATGATGCCCAAGACTGGCACTTTTTGTTTTTTCTCAGCAAACTAAACAAACCCAAATCTCTTTTTGATTTTCAAGGAAACTAGATTCCTGCCAGATTTCGAATCTGGACAATAAATAGATACTTTGTCCTAGCTTCTTTCTGGAATTATTTCAGAATATTTTCCACAAGCATCACAGAAACAGGAATGAACCGGCAGCTAGTGAACATGTTGACATCCTTGTTTGCATTTTTCTTAGAGACAAACCACTTCAGGTAGGTGAAACGACTTTGCATGCTGATATTTTTCACATGAAAACTGTTTGAAAGAGAACGTGTCATGCAATTGTTATTTGTTTTTCTGCGCCCTGGACCATATTATTTTAATTTAATAGAAGAGAATTAGATTTCTTTTGTTCATTTTAAAAGCTTAATTATGGTGGAAGGGTGGTAAATTTTCACAAAAGCAAGTTTTATGATACATAGCTCCACTCTATGCGTTTCGACACACATTTTCACAGCCAGTGTGCTATTGAGATAGTCTGACGAGTTGCATGCTTTTTCTATTTCTACAAAAAGGTTATATTTTTGGTGTCAAATTATTCTGAAAGTGATTGAAGGGGATTATTGGGTACAATGTTTATTATACAGTGGAATTGGTTGAATTAATTTGCCAGAAGCATGCTCATTTTCTATAAAATAGAAACAAACCCTAATTCTCAGCCAACTTGGGACTTTTATTATATTTCAGCAACTAAAAGAACACTATGAGGACAACAATTCAGGAATTTTCTTGAAACATCAAAATTCTCTTTTTACCACTATATTGTATTGCTCAGTCTATTTGGAAATTGATTGTCTACCAAAATTTAATTAATCTGACATTTTTTTGTGTGTCTGTATGTATGAGAAATGGATTATGCATAATAAAAATAAGTGAGGAATACTTACTTGCATGTTTGCAGTTTTTAACATAATTTACAAGTTGTCAAATCAATTGATAACTTAAAATATCGAATTATTACCAGTGAGTAAAATAGTCATCTAATGGCAGAGGGTCTAAGATGAACTAGAGATAGGAGATGCTCTTACAGCAAAGTGTAGAACTCTTCATTTAATTTTCACCAAATTTTATGGTATTTTTTCACAGAACCAAGAGAAATGGAACACATAGCAATAATGCTATAAATACTGGGAAAACCCACTATGTTCCTTTCAGGTTCGCACCTCCTACTATGATTAAGAAAAAATGTAGGCTGAGTTTTCCTAGAATCATCATCATCATCATCATCATCATCCTCACCACCACCACCACCATCATAATTAAATAGTACTTGATTAATCAGATGAATCTGCATATGGGAATGTAAGTATTTATGAATGATCATATCAAATCTTAACTCCTACTAAATGTCTATCTCATGTCTGCACTAATGCCTCTTCTTTGACAACCTGGTGAGAATGTAGTTTTATCTTAGTGACAAAATCAGAAAGACTATTTGTTAAATTAGTGAAAACAAAGCTTTTAAAATATATACTTTAGGAATGATATCAGTATTCAGGCAACAACTATATAACATGCAAGATCTTATTTTGCTACAAATCTGCTATAAGGTCTTCATTACTTCTAACCAAAAAAAAAAACTAAATCTGAGAAATTTTTCAATTAACTTTTAGGAATTTTGATAAAATTATTTAGAAGTGTTTTTTCATTAATTCTTTATTGGAGAGTCAAGAATTTAAATACTCGTCTATAAATAACAACTGACAAAATAATAGAAGTAACAGACATGTTAATTTTTGACCTATTTAAAAATGAAGTCAAATTTCCAAGTGAAGTTTTTCTTTCAGGTATCATTCAAATCTATTAATAGTTGATAACTGGGATAGAATCTAGTAGGTGAGAAAATAAGCAATGGGGCAATTTATTATATTGTTTACTTTGTTTTGCCTCTCTTATGTATTTCTTATAAAAGGCACAAGACATATTTAGGGCTGAAATACTAAAACAATTTTTTAAGTCATGAAGAAATGACTTTAAGACAATCAAACTGAATATACAAATTATCATCTTCTCTGAACACTTTGGAAAGAAATAGCTTTAACTATATATCCATAAAATATACAACTTAAAACTATACACATTATCTCCTCTCAAACATCATACGATTAATCAGGATTTGTAGTTCTTTCAATTTAAAACTACCTGTAGACCATGCATGAGCAGAGAAGTTGACCAAAGAGTTTGAGTTTTTCTACTTTTGTTTTTACTAACATATCACATATCTTTATCAAAATGTGATGTCAGACATTCTGTAAACATTAATTCTCAAGGATGAGTGATATTGTTGCTAAAAGACTTAATGATGTGTTTAGGACTGCTTTCTGCAAAGACCATGACTCCAGGTCTGGAAAACAACCTTCGCAGACCCTATCTCCTTCAGATTTCTTGGACAAATTAATGGGAAGAACATCAGGATATGATGCAAGAATCAGGCCAAATTTTAAAGGTAGGTTTCACTTAAATTGACATTGAGACTTTGAGAAAATTTCTAGATGTTTGGATAGTTTACTCTGAAAAATGTTTTCAGGGCTTTTTATTACAAAACAGAAATAAAAAGCATAATATTTATTTCATTTTGGCATTCTGTTGTTTAGATTCACTGATCTAAATATCTTAAATTTTACTTGTTGCTTGTCACATTTGAAAACTTTTCTTGTTTTTGTTCTATTCCACAAACAAACTAGCATCCAGAGAGTATTTCTACTGTCCCTAACTTCTCTTAACTGAGAGTGTGGCTGGGAGTAAATACAAGAACAAATGATGGACATGACTTGCATAAACGTCTACTAAGACACATGCAAGTATCAATGGTTACACTAAAATCTTTGATTTTGGTTTTAAAAATCTATATCAAAGTAAAGTTTAAATCTCCATATAAAGCATGCTATTTTACACACTTTCAGCCCTCTAACCTTAGACTTTGTGAGAAGAGGCTCGAATTTAATACCAGAATTACTTAGTTCCCTCTTAATATTTGGTTCTCTTTTGCTTAAACATTCTAATTTTTATTTGGAATTATTTATCTGAAATGAATGAAGATGATCATATAATTGTAAATTGTGCATGTCAAAGATGGTGGCTATTTTCTTTGTTCAATTAGATGTAAACCAAGGATTTTGTGTTTTTGTTTGCTTAACATTACAAAAATGTGGTTAATATTCTGCCAAAATTATATTTTTGTCTTCTATCTGGTTTATGTTTATTGTCAGAAAAATTATAGTAAGAAAGAACCAGTTATCAATAATTGAATTATTCTGACGGTTTATTTTATAAATACATGTTTAAATGACAATTGTCTTTTATCTTATAAGTGAATTTAATATTATACATTATGTCATATTTACATTTTTTAAAAGGGTAAACCTATAATATTCTAGATGGTATGTAGAAATTCATGCATTGCTTTGGTTTTTCGCTTATTAGCAATTGGATTGCATTGCTTTCCTTGAGTTTTGACTAAGTTTTATTCTTGGCAAATATAAGCATAAAACCTAAAATTCAAATTGATTTCTTTCCTGAATGCATACCTCTGAATATACCCAGCTATGGGCACATTTCATAAAGAATATGTCAGAATTTCAGCAAAATAAGTGGTTTTGATTTATGGAAGATTCCCAAGAGACAGGTGAACTAAGTTCAGAGCTCAATTTTCCTAAAACAACAACAACAAAACAAACAAACAAAAACCAAACTTTATGCCCATCCCATTTCCTATTAATTTTGTGGTCATTGATTTGGAAGTCAATAGCTCAAATAAAATCAAACAAAGAAATTCATGTATTTATTTACTTAGCCATTCAACAACTTCTTTATAAATCAGAACTATATGCAAAATACTAATGGTTGAGTGCTTTGAAAAGCAGAGAGATAACACAGGCTTGGGCGTTATTACCAAAAACTTCAGTGGGGATGCAAGATGTTACATGAATACCTATAGTTTAGAGAGAAATAGTTAAGTGCCATTAAGAAGTATAGATTAAATTCTATACAATTTCCACAAATGGAGAGATAATTTCCTATGAAGCTGTTCATGGAAAACTTCATAGAGGAGGCCCAGACATGGAAAATTGCTTCAAGTTTATGAGCATCTTACTTGATAATGGTTACTACTCATACCTATCTAGGAATAATTTCTCAAAAGGGCAGCAAAATGAAAAGGGGAATAAAACAAACACCCATGATTTTGTTGCTACTTTGTGTGACCGTGGATAAGCCATCATTTCCACACATTTTTTTTTCTGGTTCTTCTGGGGATGTTACCCTTAGGAGAGGACATTTATCATGGTTTTAAAAGATAAATGAGTGAGGAAAATGTCAAGCCTAGAAGAAATGGCATTTTTTTGTGGTATCTCCACTACCTGAATGCATAAGTACAGGATATTTTAATTACTTACAAAAGAGAAATGAAGTGAATTTCATTTAAGACTGTAATATTAATGAATTTCACTGAATTTTGTCTACCTCTCTTTAACTCTCTACTTCAATAAACACAGATGTTCTTTACTAAACTTTATTTATATGGACCATTCATATCAGATCAATTATCTGATATCTCCTAAAGTTCTCTTTATTCTGAGGAGCTGGGCCTTTTCTCTTTGTAAAATATTCTCATTATTTTAGACTAAAATAATTTCTCCCTCCTTGGTTTTCCCATTAAACTCTATATGTCTAATATGGACTTCGTGTTTGTGTTTGTGTGTGTGTGTGTGTGTGTGTGTGTGTATTTTTAAATCAATCTCACTCCCACACTGTATCTGAGAGAGCAGGGAGATGCCTTATTTTACTTACAGTCACATAAAACATTGCTGCTATAGGGAAAAGAAGACATCCTTCTCTCCAGGATGAGGAAATAAGGACCGTGAGAGAAACTGCAGATCAGTTATAAAGCTAAGTGCTTCCAATTTGTTGTAGAAGAAGTTGAGGGTGGGAACTTTAGAGGGACTAACCAGTAGTCATAGTAGCAAGCAAAGATGATCTTAGCTGAGCTGGAGAAAGGGAATTAAAAGACAGAGATAATAGGGAACTTGTAACATTGGGGAGGCTAGAAAGAACACGACAGTACTTAAACAATAGTTGATTAGCAATGTATCAATGAAGAATTTTACATAGTAGATAGAAATGAAGAGTGATTAGGAAATGTGATTGTATCTAGATAGTGACAAGCTCCCCGTAAATACTGAAAAGCAAATTGGCTATGATAACAATAAACATGATGATGATAATGACAACACAGTGATTAATAAGAAAATTAAAGCAAAATTGACAATAAGAATAAAAGTGACAGCCAGATATAGGCTATTGAGGTAAATTCTAGAAATTTTATGAAATATTTGCATGCTTTTCTGTTTTCCTTGCTGCCATACATTGGTAAGGGAAAAAGAAATACATGTGTCTAATTTTTCTTATTGGGAAGAATTTTTCCTGCATACTTTCAAGTCAGTAAAATATTGCATATCTATTCCATATCCCTGATAGACTCTGAAAGATGTCATAATGGGCATATATACAAGAAAGAAGATAAATGTAAACTAGAAAAGGGAACCAGAAATGATTCAGACTTAGGTTCTGTAATTGAAAGACATTCTTAGAAACCACAGGGAAAGAAAAAAGCTTTTCTGACGTGCTGAAGCACAAGTGTATAAGCAAAGCCATGAGTCAGAGTTGCCAATTGAATTCCATCTATAAGATCCATAGAGACCTGGGTCAGATCTTGTGAAAACATAAATTTTCAAAATCCTCAGCTCAGATGAAAACACAAGCTATGTCCTTGCACAATTACCTGACTCTGAAACAGGGTAAATGTTGATTCTATATCAAC